ATGAAGATATGAAAGGTGGTTTGGGTTTTTTTTTTAATAAAAACCAGTAAAACAAGTAAAATATTTCCTTTTCTAAATTATATCCTGGCATACATGGCAGTTTTGAAGACTAAACCCAGTATAACACATTCACTCACGATTAGATGATGTCTGATTTTTTTTTTACAAAATGAATTGGCGATCAATTATTTTCGTTTTAAAATGGAGAGTGTTTAACATACTGTGTCACCATCTTCAGGCTGATGGGGCATGAGTGCCACAATTTCAAATGCATTTGGTCTTTAAAATGCTGTACAACTTACTTGGAATCACTTCCAACAAATTACAGGTAGCTAAATGCTTTCATGGTTTTCCCTCTCCTTCCTTCCTTCTTTGACATGCCACATAAATGAAGTGAGCATTATATTACTGAATTTCTGACTTTGCTCAAGTGGAACATGTAGTGCCACGTGCAAGCCCCCACACTCCATACCCTTCCTGAAATGTGTGCCTTGCCTATCACCTGCTCTTTCTTTTACTTATTATACAGCATATTCCATTTACTCATTTTTTGTTTTATTCACAGATATTAGTGGAAAAGATTAACCATTTTTGTCTCAATCAAGCATTTAATAATTTACTAGAGTACCACACCTCATCTAGAGCTGAGGGAGAAACAATCACAGCTCAGGAGAAAGGAAAACCTCTGTGGAAAATGACCTTAGTGTAGAGCTGTGCTGTTTAGAAAATGTAACCATTGAAGTCCAGGCAGACGGGGTTTGGGTGCAGGGGTAACACTGTGGGATGCACAGAAAGTCCTTGATACTCAAGTTGTGCTGCCCTGTGGGGCTGGGCTGCAGCTCTAATACAAAGCTGATGCTCAGAGCGCTCCTCGAGCCCACCTACGTGTGATGAAATGCTCTGTTCCACTTCCCTGCCCTCCTGCTGCTCGTCCCCGTGTGCCAGTGCTGCGGTCCCGCTGCCAAATCCCTGCTTTGCAGTGACTCCAGAGGGTGGGATGGCAGAGCCCACCCCCGTTCTCGGCCGTGCCCCGGGGCCGTGCGAGCACCCGCTCCCTGCGCTGCAGCCTCAGCGGGCAGAGGTTCTGGCTGCAGAAAAGCTGCTTTAAGCTGGCAGGAAGAAATGGAGGCTTTCAGTGGAACAGCTCCTCATTTAAAGGAAACGGCCCCTATTTCCAGCGCTGTTTCCATGGCAGCCAGCCTAGCAGCCGGCTCTGGAGTTCCTGCCGCTTGGAAATTTCCAAAGGGGTATGCAGGAATGTTGGACATGACATTTTCCCGTTTTTACTTGCAGGTTTAAGGGTTTAAATAGCTAATATCCATTGGATTTAAGCTTTGGAAGAAATAATGAGATGATTACATACGGAACATAAAAAAAAATCTGGATGCACTGTTTTTCTTTTTGCTGCCATTTGAAAGAACTGGGTGATGGAGCCCTTCTCCTTCAGCCCTGTAATTGTGAAATGGCAACAGCTATTTGCTGTTTCATAGTACCTTCTATAAAAAGATAAAATCTGATTTTAAATTAATAGGTTAGTAATGAACTGTGTTAGATGTGGAATTACTAGTGCTGGAACTGTGCACAGCATGTGTTCTGGGTTTTTTCAAGACAAGAAGCAGTGGTGAAAGCTTGTCAATCAGCATAGATAGCACTGTTCCTGTAGGACAACTATCAATTTATTTTTGGCCTCTTTACATTCCAGTGCTTGTGATGATATAGGACTACTTTGAGACTGCTCTTCCATAGGATACACATTACAGATTTGTAACAGAGATCACTTGCTCGCCTTTGATAAAAGCTGTTTGTTGGAGGTGATGTAATAATACCCTTTATTTTCACTCATTCTGCTGTTCACACCGAGTGAGACGTGACTGGCCACTCCTTTCCTGTCCTGCCTTTCCAAGGGGCTCGTACAGAACGTGATGTGTCTGCTGAAGTGTCTGTTTGCCAGTTTTCCTGCCCTCAGCCCCTCGTAGCCCTCCAGCAGGACATCAAGGAGCTGCTTGTTCTGGGTGTCCTTGATCCTGTGCCCCGTTAGGGCTCAGCGTGTGTGCCCTGAGCAGGACTCGCTGGCTGAGAACAAAAGCCATTGGCTTTATAAAAGTTGCTGCTTTACAGAAGCACAGCTGTGCATGATAAAGTGCCTCGGTTTACAGGTGACCTCTCCCTTTTCTACCACCACCTCTGTTCCCTGGCTCCTGGAGTGTAGATTCCCTACTGGGCTGCCAATGGAGGAAGCTGTCAGAGTGGGAGCACCAGCCTCTGGTGCTCAGTTTTTTCAGCTGGTGAAAAATCCACACCTCCAGTGCAGTCACAAGACTTGTGCTGACTCTGAGAGTCAGATAACCAGATGTTCTTGCTGTGAGGAGGGATTATGCTTTCCTGTTTTGTCAGGAGGTATTAAGTAAGATATCCAGGCTTTAATGTTCATTTTATTGACTGAAGAAAACACTTGGAAATTTTGAAATCTCTTGGTGTTCAAGTGTTAAAATCATACCCTGACTTGAAAATGAAAAAGAACACCCGCCCTTCTCCCTCAGTCAAAACAGGAATTTGACTGACCTCTCTGTGCATGGCTTTTATTCAGAAGCAGTTCACAGACAGTTTTTAGAGTTGCAGTGGTGTGAAGGAGGAGTCCTGCCAGATAATGTGAAGTGCAAAATATTTGTACCATCTTTTAGCAACTAGAGTTGCTCAGTGGTGTTAACACAGTCCTTCTTTTGCACATGCACTTGAAATAGGAGGAAGAGTATTGCTAATATTAACACTGTATTAACATATCTAAATATTTGTTAATTTGAGGCCTTTATTTCAGAGATCATCTTTTATGATTTTAGATGTTATGTGGGTAACTACCTGATTTTCCAAGTGTAAAAGTGAGAGGTGAATTATCTGGCTACAAGCTGAATGGATTTACCCTGATAAGAACAATCTGTTAAACACAGTGTTGGAGTAAGTACCATTCCCAGGGGAACTTTGTAGTACCTACACCTCGTGTCTTTTGAATTCTCCCTTCCCTAGATTCTGTCCTGGCTTTTCTGTAAAGGGTTCTTTGAAATAAAGGGGAGGGGGAAGAAAACCCCTAAACCCACACTAGAACAAGTAGTAAAATACATATATGTTATATTTGGATAATGCTTCAGTGGGTTTTAGATTTATTATTTTTGGAGCTGTGACCCCCCGTCTCATCCATCCTTATTAGATTTACTGCTTTGTGTGTCACTGACTGTTCTAGAAATCTCTTGCTGTATGGATTTCTATATATATGATAAGCAAAGTCTGTATCAGCTTTAATTACCATAGATTTAAACCAACCTGAATTCTATTCTAGATGGTTTCTCACTGAAATAAATTGCCAAAGTGCAATTCTCACATTGTTCATCCTTGTCTTTGAAGATAATTTCATCATATTTTCCTTATTGAAAACCTGTGATTTAGTTTCCATGACTCCCATCTTCCTGGCTGGCTGGCTGCTCTTTGAGCTGCTTTTTGTGAGTCCCCATTTTCTTCTAAGCTCTTCCCAAACCTCATTCCTGCTCCCTTCCTTTATACCTACTTCAGGTTCACCTCCAGTCTAACAAGTCTGTCTGTAACTGCTGTCCATCCCCCCACAGAGGGAAGAGAAGGGTCTCTGCTGTCTGTAGTGACCATCTGTAACCCAGAAATGCTCTGACTAGATGAAGTTACGCAACTCAAGTACAGGTGTTGCCATTTCTTCCTTAGGAACATTTCTGCTTTTTACTTTGTGTGGGGGCTAAAAGTATTTTAGGTCCTTAGGTCTTTTGTAGAGATATAAATATTGGTTTTTTCCCTAGTGTGTTTGCTTTGGAAAAGCAAAACTTTTTCAGCTTTTAAAAATAATATATTTAGTGGTTTTATTCACAACTGCTTTCTATTTAGAAATTTTCTTTTCTTCAATAATACATCTGATTGCTCAGGATTATTTTTTTTTTTTTAAATTTAGACACCAAACCTTTTTTTAACCTTCTTAATTTTGAGTTGATTGCAAAAGCAAACATCTGGTTTTCATCCAGTTTTATTTCTCTTTAACCTCCTTGCTCTGGTCAAGTCAAACTCTTCAATTATTATCATCTTATACCATCTTTCTAACTATGAGTCATCTCTTCTTTCGTATTCCCCCTGCAGTGCTTCCCTATTAGTCATGCTACAGGCTGTCCTTTATTATGTAATCTATAAGTTCATGGTATTTATTTAGAAAGTGAATAACTGCACGTTCTGTATCTTCTCTATCTCTCCTTTTTTTTTCAGTTTTCCCACAGTTCTTGTGACTTGTCAGATACAGATGGGACAGCTTCAAAATCCTCCCTGATTTGCTTTGTGATGCCCAGTGTAGGTTCCCAGAGGCTGTGCAGGCAGGGAGTGTTAGGAGACAGGAAGGATTAGTTCCCTGGTTTTGCTAAGAAATGCTAAAGGCTCACACCTGAGTGCATGTGGGTTGTGTGCAGGTACATTCCTCCTGTTCCCCTTTTGCTGGGCTCCACTGCCTGTTCTCTGCTTAGACTGGACATTCTTTAGGTGTGGGTCAGTTTGGCTGCAAAGCTTAAGCCAAATGTCTGATCATAATTGAAGCCACAAATCCTAGTTACAATACAATAAATGTCATAGCAGGGCTTCCCATCATCTACATTTGGAAATACTGATCATTACAACGTGTTCAGTAATAACATTCTTTCCCACTTGTGTTTACTAACATTGAAAGCACTGTCCTAGCAAAGCTTAGGCAGCTACAGCTGAGCCAGCTACACCTACAAAATGGGGTCTGCGAGAAAGCTTAGTAACAGAGACAGTCTGAGGAAAAAGCATCTTAGAAATCAGAAATACCACCAGAAATGCATTATTTCTGAATCGATTACTTGCCTGTTCTATGTTGGTATATGAACCACAGCAGTACTAACATTCCTGCACCTGCTCTGATATTGCCAGCATTCACTGTGTTCCACGGAATGAATTGAAAAAATTACTAATTCTGGTTTACTTACTGTGTCTGACATAAATAGCTCCACTGTGGACATCACTGATGTTGGAGCAGGTCATTTTGCTTGAAGACTTTGGGCCTGAAATAAAGAGGCATATGTTTAGAACTGACCTGTAACTAGGTAAAAGATTTGGCAGACACATCTGTAGTGTGCTTGGTGTTCCAAGAAAGCCAAATGTAAGTGTGGTGTAACTTTGGACCAAGTACAGCTGTACAGCATGGATGAGATTCCTGCCCAGAGCAGGACACAGTTTTCCACCCTTGCCAGAGCTTTCTAGCTGTGTAAAAGAAAGCATAGTTTAAAGAACAGAAGAAAGACAAGTTTTAATCTACTCAGAACCAAAAATATTGGGTCTGAATACAGTAGTCGTGCCACGCTGTATATAAATTTTCTTTCACATGACTTGGGTGGGTAAGACTTGCTTAAGATTTTTACAGGGATTGTACATCTAGTTTTAAGGCAGACTCTGAGCTTGCTTGATCTTACTGGTTGTAAGCAAGGAAATCCAAAACAAGAACATACCCGAGATTTTTTGCTTTCCTGTAAACACCACACCAGTTAGTGACTGAGTCAGGGCTTTGTGTCAGTGATGGGGGAAGTTCTGAGAAGTATCCCCAGGGTTAGAAGCTTAACATTATATCATTAGACTGTATGCTTGAACTGCATTGCCATGGGAATGACTTTTTTAATGCATGTTTGTATACTAAAGCTTGTGGATTTGTAGGTTGGATATCCATCCATAAATGCGTGTTTGCACACACTTAGTCGCATTTTTTGGGTAGATTAGACCAAGTGGACTTGGACACCCATGTGGGTTTCTGCAGAAAGTTTGAACTTGCTCTGCCCATGCTGTGGCTTTGGTGGGAGTGTGTAACTGTGCTACAGCCCCAGCCCAGGCTGGGGAGGGCTCTGAGAGCAGGGTCCAGCACAGCCTCTGAGCTGGTGCCAGAGCCCAGGCAGCACACGTGCACCTGCCAGTAAGGGATACCTTAGGAAGAGGTCATGGCTTACTTGGAGACACATGAAGTTAAGGAGCACAAAAATGAACTATTATAAAATAATTCTTCAGGTAACTTTTTACAGTCATGTACTATTACTTGGAAAATACAATGCAATACCTACTTAAAGCAGGTATTTTCAAGTTTCCAGAGGGACTCAGTACCTTTTGAATGATTTTTCATCAATTTACATTTTAGTGTTGTTACTTTTGCATTCTCTCATCTCTATCCTCTGTAATTCTTGTGTAACAGAACTGTTGTAAAGTCTGAACAGATCTGCTGTGCCACAGCTCTAAGATGTTTGTATTTAAACTCTCAATGTTTGTGTGACATAAGAAAATAATGTCCTTGTTTTCAGGACTTGCTATTCCCGGTCTTAATGCTTTAGCCAGAGGAGTATCCTTCCTGTACTGCAGAACAGGAAATAAGCTGGTTCCTTTTAAATTCTGGAAACAATGAACTTTGTCCTTAGCTTAATTTTTCAGAAATTACATTCATTTTGATGTTTTGGACAATGCATTAGCTTGTTTTGCTTCCTCGTGAAATACAATGGGAACAGCATACTATAATCATACATCCATAATAAGCTATCAAGTCTGAATTTAAGAAAGTAAATATTACATCTTTAATGTATGTTTTCTCTTGACCCTCCCTTGTTCAGAAGATGAAATTGGGGTCATAGCTGTATGTGCCAAAGAGATAATGAAACACTATGATAAATTGATACAGAAACAAGGGGAAGGGAACAGTAGAAGAAAGAAACAACTATTTTTTTCCTTATTGTTTCTTTTCCCTGGAAAAATTTACAAAAAAGCCATAATTTTTGAAAATACAAGGCTTTTATGTCTATATCCTCCCCCAGGTTTTGTGGTTCCCAATGTAGTATGTAATGTGTGTCACACTGGTTACTCACACAGTAACAATGAGAAACTGTATTTTATTAAATGTAATGAAACATAAGAAGTTACCTCTGAAACTTTATAAACAGTTTTGCCATGTTTGACAGTATTGGATTTATTTTTTCCTTGAAGTAATTACACTAACAGTCTGGAAAACAGCATTTTCTGATGTTCAGAGAGAGGGTAAGGTCTGTTTCTGATTGTGTCACTTTTTTGGTGTTTTTAAATAAGCCACATAAAATCTGGCTTCTCTTCAGTTTCTTCTTTATATTAAAAAAAAAAAATCCTTAGGAAAAAACCATCAACCAAACAGCTTTTCTTCTGAAATGCTCTGGAAACATGATTTCTGTTTCAGCAGTGAAGTGTCAGAAGATTGGTTTAGGAAATGTAATAAGGCTCTGGAATCATTATGTGTTGCAATTTATGGTATAAACTCTTCTTACCTCACTGTTTTCTTGATGTGTGCTTAATATCCCTTACAGTGCCCAGCTGATAGGAACAGTGGATGTGTGTGTGAAATGCAGCCCCTCTGTCAGCTGTGAGCACAGAGCAGCAACCTCCGCTGCCAGGGTGGATTGGGAGTCACTGCTCTGAACTGTGTGAACAGCAGGTCTGGGGGTGACTGTCGGGTCTGAATAGACAGAGCATATTTCTCAAGTTGAACTACGTGGGGTTTTGCACTTTCTGTGCTCACATGGGAATCAATGTTTTCTTTTGTCAGTACTTCAGCTGAGGCTGCAACAGAGACGGACACGAGAACAGCTGGTGGACCAGGGCATCATGCCACGTAAGACTTGTGTTATTTCTAGTCATTTGTATTTCAGTACTGTAGGAATTTTGAACTGAATATATAAAATAATGAAGATAAGAGTTGTTAAAAATAACATCAGCATTTGAAAAGACTTGTGGAATCCTTTTGGTAACCTCCATGAGCATGCAGTAAATTCATCATGTTACCTCATGTTTCAGCAATTGTGAGGAAAACTCAAGGATTTGGAGACGTAGTCTGATTCTCCTTTTATTTTCTCTATTTAAATAATTATGACTAATTTACTAAATAAACTGAATTACATAACTGAGTGGACATTAGTAACAAAGCCAGCTTTAAAGAGTAGGATGGCAAGGGCTGCCAAACAAACTGAGGCGTGCACGGAAAGAATCGAGAATCCGCAAGTGGACAGTGTGGAATGAGACTGGGCACAAGATAATAGGTCCAAATTGTCAAGAGATTCAACTGTGAAAAGTGATTTTAATCAAAAGCAAACAAAAATCCCAGCCATTGAAACATACCAAAATTATGGCAAGTGATTAAAAATAGTCCAGTGTGCACTGGTGAGTTGTAGCTTGAAAGCACAGTGTCTTAAAGCAAAGCTGTTCTTGAAGCTTTCTGGGTGTGCAGCAGACCTGAGACTGCTTTGCTAAAGCATCTTCACCCCCCAGGTCTGTAGTGCTGATTACCTTCAGGAACAGAACAATGTGTTTGCTTTTGAGTGAAACCTGGGAAAAAAACTTCTAAACAGTCAGAGAGTGTTAAAGGTTTTGTGCTGTGGTATCTCCTCTGCCAAAAGCGTGGCAGTTCAGATGGATTGCGCCTGCTGCTGTTTCACCCTTCCAGCAATTCAGTTGAGATGAAGCACTCTACAGTTTATGTTATTTCTAGCTGAATAGTGATTTTTACTCTTTTGGGCTATTTAGCAGCTAACCATCATTCTGTTTTCTAATTTCAACATTTAAGGTCTCTATATTTTTTTTTAAATCAGCACCTAAGGGACAGTCCAGTTCTCTCTAATAACAGCAAGTGTGAGGTATGGTCAGACAGTAAATACAGTATTTATGAAACGGTATTTTAGCATTCTGAAGCTTACCTAATACAATTTCTACTGTGGAACTGTATTAGTAAACAAACACATAGTGACCAAGTGAACTGTTACATGGTAATATCTGTATTCTGTATAGGAATATTGCTCTGCTACATGTAGGTGAACCCAACAAGCATGAATCAGATGTAACCCTGGTCAGATGCAAAGACCACTCCGAGGTGGTGGGAAACACCCATACACACGTTCTGATTAGGATATTTCTTTTGGAAATCACTGCTGCCATTTTTAACTCTTACTCTCCCTTCACAGCTTTGAAAAGTCCAGCTGCATTCCATGAGCAGATCAAGAGCCTGGAGCGAGCCAGGGTAAACCACTTTGTGTAAACTTGTGATTAATATCTGGAAATGGATAGTCAGTTGTGTGTGATACTAAATTCTCTGAGTACATGGAAAATTAGCACTACAGTAATAACATGTGCTTTTATCTTGGAAGAATTCATTAAAATAAAATATGGGTGTCAAATCTGAGAGGAACTTTTCTAAGCTTTTCTAACTTTTCTAAGATCAGGGTGGGTGATAAACTTGTGGTCATAATGTAATGCTCCCCCCAGTTAAGGATGGGATACTTGGGTAGATTATGCTTGTGCAGTATTTCTGTAGCAAATGTGTACTCTTGTGATTATATGGTGATATGGGATCAAATCCAGCAACATTCCCAACTTGTTTGGGGAAGATAGAAATTCATTAGCACTGCTTAACTGATAGGAAAACAAAAAAGCAAAACGAACCCCATATTCTGACAGTGGTGTCCACCCATCTGCATGAAAGAGCACAAGTCATTGACTGGAGATATGGGATTTATCAAACTTTGATTTTTCTAGTAAACAGTAGTTAATGCCATTTCCTCCTTTCTTCTAAGACTGAAAATTTCCTGAAGCACAAGATCCGCAGCCGGCCGGACCGCTCGGAGCTGGTCAGGATGCACATCCTGGAAGGTACGTCCAGCTCTGGCCCCTGAGCTGCTGCAGAAGGGGCTCCTGTGCACTCACTTGTCTGACTGAATTACACTTCAAAGGCAGTTATTTCTGAAGGTTTAGTTGCTCTATTTCTCTATGTCTACAATGTATTTGTTTGCTATTGCATATTGCTCTTACTCTCTAATGGTAATTGTGCCATGGTCTGTATGGAATGCTTGTAGTGCTTCAGTTCTTACTCATGCCCTAAAATGATCTGACACTCTTGTGCTTCCCCCTTTATAAAACCTTTAGAATATAAATATAATAATATAAAACCTATTGAACCTTTAATAAATGACTGTTACCCTGCTGTGTTAACTTTCCTTGTTGCTCAGTCATTGGAAA